CTTTATTTCCAGTTAATTGATTTGGATAAAAACCCTTTTAAGTGACATTAAGGCACCTCCTTTGCCTACTACTTCCAGCAAAATAATGGTATTATTTTCCTTCTGTGATATATTATGAAAAAGGAAAAGCAAACTTTTTTGAGAGAGAGAGCAAACACATGGGTGGGGGAGGGGCAGAGGGAGAAAGAGAGACTATCAAGCAGGCTCCATGTTCAGCACAGAGCCTAATGCAGGACTCAATTCCACCACCCTGGGATCATGACCTGAACCAAAATCAAGAGTTGGACATTCAACTGACTGGGCCATTCAGGGCCCCCAAACTTTTTATTTTAAAGTGTGGAATAATTTTCACTGTGATTAAGCAAATTTGGGTTAAATGATTCTGGATAAATACGGTATTTATTTGGCATGCTGGGAATTACTATACATACATCACCCACCCATCCTTCCAAACCCATGTCCACCTGAGCCCAGGGAGTGGAGGAGAAACAGTGGCTGGAGAATGGGGTGAAGTTTGGATGCTTCTTTAACTACCCTTCCACCCAGTGTTCTCCAAAGTTTGTTTCAGAGAATACCAGTTACACGAGCTGTTGTAGATAAGGCATGACTAAGGCTTCATGATTAAATGAGTTTGTGAAATATATTCAACAGATAGAGCAGATTTTCTCACTATGCAACATTCTTAGAGCTTTAAAGATGCTGATGTATATTCTCCAATGGAAAGATAGGACATGGATGTTGCACAAATGGGGGTGACCATGAGGCCTTTCTGTATGAGGAAGTCTCATAGGACAAGCTTCCTTGGAACAAACTTTAAGACATTTGGTTCTTGTTTATAAAGAGCCAAAATTCACCAAAGAAAAGAAGGGTCCACTGAGACTCCAGAGAAAGGGAAAGGTCATGACTGGGAATTCATGGCATGTGCCACCATGGTGGTAGAACTATATCACACTCAGCAATATCAAGAATTAGTTATTGATTTTATCTTTACCTAAAACACACGTCACCACCTACATTAGATTGCCTTGAATGGTGCTTAATGTACCACCAAAGGCATGTAGGCATTCCATAAATGCTTCTGATGCTGAGGCTAAACGGTTTTTACACCATGTGTTGTAGCTTGTTAGAAAACATGATACTCCTCACCACTTTTCTTTCTTCCTTCAGCAAACATCCGTTGAATGCCTAGTCCTCAGTACTTTTCCAAGCTCTAGTGCTATATCATTGACCATTATGACACAGATCCTTCCTAAGCAAGCTACTATTTGTAGAAGCAAATGTGTATTTTATTTTTATTTATTTATTTAGGATAGACAGAGACAGAGCACAAGTGGTGGAGGAGCAGAGAGAGAGGGAGACACAGAATCTGAAGCAGGCTCCAGGCTCTGAGCTGTCAGCACAGAGCCCAAAGTGGGCTCAAACCCAAGAACCCTGAGATCGTGACCTCAGCCAAAGCCAGACCTTAATCGACTGAGCACTCAGGCACCCCACAAATGTGTGTTTTAAAATTGGAATATTCTGTGACAAAGGTAACATTTAAAGCAAGTACAAAGCAAAAAGGCATCAAGGAGAAGAGAGAGAAATTCATTTTCAAAGAGTGTGAAAGAACATTTTCTAGAAGGACAGGTGAGTCTTGAAAGCAGAATAGAAGTTTTCTGGCTGGAACATGCCAGTTGATTCTAGCACCAAGAATAGAAGTTTCAAAGGCAAGGAGACAGGAAATGATTTGGCAAGTGTGGGAGAGTGTAAGCAGTTGGTATCATCAGAACACAAAACAGAAGGAGCAGAGTTGAAAGACACAAGTTTTAAGAAGTTAGCAAGGCTCAGATTAGTAAAATGTTATATCCTTTGTAGAATGACTCAAGAGTCTGATTCAGGCAATGAAGAACTATGAGAGGGTTATAGGAGAGGCCATGAGAAAGCAAGCACTTAAAACCTGACCTTTGTAGCAATGTAGAGAGGCTAGAGTTAGGGAAATCAATTAGAAGGTATTAGTGTTATCCAAGTGAGAAATGAGCAGGCACTAACAGTGGCGTATTTGGAAAGGACACATTTGAGGTATTAATGTTGTAAATCAAAAACAATCTTTTTTAATGTTTATTCATTTTTGGGGAGAGACAAAGACAGATCATGAATGGGGAAGGGGCAGAGGGAGAGGGAGACACAGAATCCGAAGCAGGCTCCAGGCTCTGAGCTGTCAGCACCAGTGCGTGAGGCAGGGCTCAACCCCATGAACCATGAGATGATGACCTGAGCCGAAATCAGATGCCCAATCGAACGAGCCACCCAGGTACCCCATTGATGAAAATTTAAGAATACTTGTTACTGATTGAATCGTAAGGAGTGACAGTAAATGACAAGAGTCATGGATGGCTCCTAGGTGCATGGCTTGGGAAATTGGTTGGATAGTGATGTTTGTAATGAGATAGAATTTACAGGAAAAAAAAAAAGAACATATTTCTAAGTGTAAAAAATATATATGGATATAAAAATATATGTCTTATATATTTTATTCATATATAAAATCTAAACTGCCTTGGGATATATAGGATGAGACCCTAACAGATCATTGGTTATATTTGCCCTGAGTTCCATAGAAATGCTTTGTTTATAGTTACATATTTATGCACATCAGCTTTTAGGTGATAGCACAGTATTCTTGAAATAGAAAATGTTGCCTTAGTAGAGAAGACTATAAGAGACAGAAGAATAAGGAATATTGTTGTGTCAAAAACAAGATGTAGAATCATTAAAAGGAGAGTGAAAATGTTCTCATACCAAGACCCAGAAACATAAGGTATGGCAACACATAGAATAACAAGAGAACTGTAAAGAGGAAGTTTTTTGTGGGTCTTTTTGTTTGTTTTTTGTTTTTGTTTTTTGTTTAAAGAAGAACATACAAAGGCTAAGTACCTCAGAGAAGTATTCTGAGGTAAGGTTAAGACTAGGATTTGGCAACCCGGACTCGTCAGTGACCTTCGCTAGAATGACTGCAGTAAAGCCAGATTGCCTTAAGTGGTGGACATAGAAGCAAGTGATAACAATGGGTTTTGGTCATTGTTTTCAAAAACGTTTTGCGTAGAAAAAAGGAAGAGAAAGATAAGAATAGTTAGATGGAGAGGAAGGGTCAAGGAGAAGTATTTAAAATGTAGTTGTGTGTGTGTGTGTGAGAGAGAGAGAGAGAGAGGGAGAGAGAGAAAAGAGGAAAAGGAAAGGAGGGAGAGAAGGAAGAAAGGGTAGGGAAGAATGGAGGAAGGAAGGAAGGAAGGAAGGAAGGAAGGAAGGAAGGAAGGAAGGAAGGAAGGAAGGAAGGAAGGAAGGGAGAGGGTGAGGGAGGGAGGTTGGGAGGGACGAAGGAAGGGGGATCAAATTTGTTTAGAGGCTACGGGATCCGTCAGTTTTGACACTAACTGGAGCCAGGTGACGCTGGATTGGGTGCAGGTGTGTTGGGGGTCGGGTGGGGAGTGTGTCATGCATTGTGGGAGGTCGCACTACATCCATGGCCTCTTGTACTCGATGCCGGTAGACCCCAATGCGATGACCAAGCATGTCTCCAGACACTGCCCAATCCCCAGGGAAGGAGGCACAATTATTCCCTGTTGAGAACTACTGGATTAGAAAAGAAAACAGTGGGAAAGATTGACCATGTAATGAAGAGGAGAGAAAAAATAACACAGAATCCACTGATAGAAGGAGGCTCTGGGATTTGGAACATCGATAGAGGTGCGTCCTTTGTCCAGAAAGGACACATCTTCCTCTACCACCAAAATGGAGGAGAAAAAGAGGCTAAGGATACTAGGAAATTTGCATTTGGTGATGGAATGCTGGCCAGGAAGGATGACTCTGTTCCCTTTGTGAGTTAAGGAGATAAGGTCATCTCATAAAAATGAAGAGGCCACAATCTGAGTAGGAGGGAAATGGAAGTGCAAATAGTCATTCAGAGTAAAAAGCTGAAGTACATGTGAGAGGGAAATAAAAAAAAAACAACAATAAAAAAAACAAAAAAACCTTTTGAAGAATGTAATGGAGGGCACCAGTTTGGGAAGCATGAATCTGAATGGGTCTCATTCCCGATATATGACTGGTTATCCTCCAGCCACAACTGCCTCTTGGTTAAAGAAATGAAGAGGGCTGTTTTTATGATTGCTGGAGAGTTGGATGCTTGCAGCTCAGGTAGAAAAAGTCACAGAGTAAAATAGGTTGGATCAAAGACAGGGACGAACCACACATAACTTCTAAGATCAGTGGATTTTAGGCAAGATCTAATTCGGTGCTTTCAACATAGAGTCAATTAATGAAATTTCTTTAAAAACAAAAAGACTCATGACAGTGATTCAATCCTTATCTCCAGAAGCATTGTCTGAAGTTTGAGAGAGATTTGGTATATTTCATATTTTTAAATGCCATTTGTATAGTCTTTTCTGTGTACTCTATCTTTTTGATTAACTACTTAAAAATAACATACTTATCTTTTACTTACTGACTCGTCACTGTCTTTACATATGAAAGAAACCGTATGTGATACATTAACCCTGTGTGATAAGTATTGCATGTATTTATCTTGGTTTTCTACTTATCTTCTGACCTTATCAGTGGTTTTATTCAGGCATTTCTAAATTATTATGTATCAAATGTATCAATATGTCTTTCTATAAAACCATAGAAGTTTTGTGGTATACCTAGAAAAAATTTCCTTACACAGATATGATAAAACATCTTCAGTATTTATTTCTAAAAATTTATGCTTTTTTAAAATTTACATTTGTGGGCCATCAGGAAATGATTTGGGCCTAAGAAGTAAGCTAGTGATGCAATTAAGTTATTTTTAAGAGAGTATTAATCACCCAAATATAGTATCTTAAATATTATCTTTTCCTCATTTTTATGCAAGGCTACTTTTTCCATAGAATAAATGGATACAGTTATTTGGGTCTGTTCATGTACCCTTTACTTATTCCATATTGATTTGTTTATTTTTAGATATGCATATATTTAAAATCTCCCTGACTTATATTATGACAAGGCCCAGAAAATTTAAGTGATTTATCAGAGATCATCCAGGTAAGTAGTGGGGAAGCTCACTAGAACCTGAGACTAGTGTTTCTTGATTGAGTATGTGTTACACTTGTGAACTAATGAGTTACTCTCTTACATACCAATTGACTAGATCTGAGATGAGTCAATCACCTCAAGTATGCTTAGTCATGGTGACCAAATGAGGGATTTCCAAAGATGGCTGATAGGAAGAGAAAACTGGGGAAAATGAGTACTCAGTAGTCATGAAAGTGCCTTATTCTTCATGTTATTTTGTAAGTGAAGGCAAAGGATTAACCATGAACTTTATTTCAGTGGTTTGTGTAAAAGTGTTTCTTCACAAAAACTAAGCATTGGTTTCAGTTAACGGAGAACTTTTTCCTTTGTGCTAGCATGATGACAGAAAAAAAGAACATTATGTTAATTGGTTGTGTTTTGTAGTTTTAACTTCAGAGTTATAATATCCATTTGCTTTTTATTTTCAATTTAGAATGTATTAATGTTATTCAACAGACAGATATTGGACTACATAGCTCTTTGGGAGTTGTTTTTAAAATTTAAGGAAAGAGGAACCTAGGTGGCTCAGTTGGTTAAGTGGGCAACTTTAGCTCAGGTCATGGTCTCACAATTCATGAGTTTGAGCTGCACATCGGGCTCTGTGCTGACAGCTCAGAGCTTGGAGCTTACTTCTGATTCTGTGTCTCCTTCTTTCTCTGCACCTCCCCTGCTGACACTCTGTCACTCTGTCTCTCAAAAATAAATAAACATTAAAAAATATTAAAATTTAAGGAAAGAAGTGAGCCACACAATTTTTAGAGCCTTAACAAAATGCCCATAGAGTCTTTGAATATATGAAATGTCAGTTACAAGTCTACTGTATCAATCAAAGTAGGAAATGAAGAAGAGGTTCAAATCCCATAAAACCCTAAACAAAGATACTGGCTGATTCCTAGCCACCATGTAGAGATATATGTGGCAGTAGTAGAAAGATTACCTGCATACATTTTACCTTTCCAGGATGGGAACTATTCTTACTAAGATTTAAATTAAATGCAGATTGAATCAGCCTCATATGGTGAGATTTTCAGGGGAGATTTTATGAAGTCCAGGTCTCCTTTGCTCTTCTTACTTAATATAAGGCAACTTGCGTAAGTAACTACAATGTATAGACACAACAAAAAATGTTTTGAGCATTTGAGCACACCAACAGATCTGTGGCAAATGTGGACTGATTTGAAACTTTAGCCAATGTAATAGTTTGATACTCTCTGTTTTGCATATTGCCTTACTGCTTCCAAAATAAGTCTTGAAAAATGGCTGCAGGAGTGGAGTGAAACATATTCAGCCAGGAGGAGACCCTTATTTTAACTCTCTGTAGGTGTTGGGATTCAAATTCAATCCTAAGGTAAGAAAAGTTAGATTTTTCTTGAGGATTATGAGTTATCATATAAGTACCACATTTTAGTTTTAGATTCATTCTCTTTTGGGTAAAGAGGATACTTTGGTATTACTGACTAAAAGTTCTAAAACTGGAACTTGGAGCAAAAATTTTAAAATATGTGAACCAATGTATTTTCTGAGCCTGGAGCAGCTCAACCACAAGGATATTAGGATTAAAGTAATAAAGAGTGAATATTACATAATATGATGAAACATTTAAACGATTGAATTCTTCTCCTTCCTTAGAGGGTACTTTCTAGATTTCTACTTGTAATTTACATTAGTGATGCTAGTGTGGATGCAACCAATGTCAAAGTAGTAGAGTCATATCAGTTCCACATGTAAAGTTGTGAGCCCAGGAAGTCTCTGAACGAGGAAAGGAAAACTTACTGACAAGTCTCAACTTATCATAATGATGTGGTCAGTGCCTGGAATGCACCAGAATCTCTTCTTTTGAATCACCTGGAGTTTATGCCCTGGAGGTGAAACCTCTGGCTCTCTGTAGTAGCTAAGTCTACAGGAGAAGTTCTTCAGTTAAAAGTGTACTCTCCTGGTTTCCCTTCCATGTGATACTCTCTACTGATACCAAAGACCCTACTCTCTCCCACATTCTCTGCCTTTTGTATTAATACATGTCATCCGGAGGGATCTAAAACCTAATATTTACATTAACATCAAATTAATAAACTGTTAAACTATCCAGGTTAGTTGCATAGAAAGTCTTTTTGAAATTACAGATTGAAAGTATAAAGTACCTATTCACAGTCTTCAAAACTTATATGGCACAGGTCACTTTATGATTGATTCTAGGATTTATGATTGACTTAGAAAGTTTTGAATAGTTTCCTGAAAACCTTATAAGTCTGTGTTTGTGAGTTTGATATGTCACATGTAGATATGAAATATAATTCCCCTTATGTTTGAATTCATGAGTTATAGTACCCACATGTGCATTACAAAAAAAAAACCTTTTGTGTATAAGCTCAATATTTCCTCAAACAGTTCCATGTGGAGGCAACTGAGTGATTCATTAGCATCCTTTCTTTAGGTGAAGACCCTAAGCCACATCAAGGCAAGTCTAGACCTGGATTCCGGCATTTCCAATGGAGCTTATACCCCACTTTACATAAGGGTTGTTAGACAAAACATTTAAGGAAAGAACTGTTGTGATTTCCATTAAAAGTTGTTTTCTTCTTTACTCATTTGTTGACAGGAGATCCAGTCAGCAAATTAAGGGACAGAGCTATGGGAAATATTGTTAGAAAAACTCAACTGTGTTGAAATCTTGAGAATGCTTCCCTCACTTTCTCACGTACCCACAGCATTTCAGGGACAGCCACAGAATGATGATGTTGCAATGCCACGCTGGAAATGTAGACTTATGTTGAAATCTTAGTCACCATCTTTAAAAAAAATAGTGGGATGTGGGGTAATCATGAATTATGAAGGAAGTCAAAGGCTAGAGTTAGAGAATAATTTCACATTGGGTATGCCAGTTAGTAGAGGGAGGGAGGGGCAAGAAGTTATTTTAGGGAGAAAGAACAGCATTAGGTAGGTAGAATAAGGTGTGAGAGACCACAGAATGATCAGAGAAGGGTAAGCCTGCATACTAACAGGTGGATTCAGTAGGTCAGTTGGTAAGATCGACAGCAAGACATTATAAAGCGGTTTTGGTGTCATGCTAGAATTTTTGGACTATATGCTGTAGAAGAGGATACATTGCAATCTGAGTTATAACATTGATGGCATATAAAGTGGACATGATGGAGGGAGCCTTGGACTATACAGAAAGAGAAAGGATGTGCATTAAAAGGAAAGCAGTGGTGTTGGGATGGAAATCAGGGGCACCTATGGAAATCAAGTTTGGAATACCTACTTGACTAAGGTTAGTAAGAAATTGAGTGTGGGGATGGTTATAGAAGACAGAAGGAGACAAAAGATAATTTCAAGGTCTGGTTCAGAAACCTATGGAGATTGAGAAATGCCATTAACTGCATTTTAAACATCAGAAGAAAGGGAGTTCTGGAAAATTGGGGGGGGGGGAATAGGAAGGGTCAGACATTTGGTTTTGGACATTGAGAGTGCAGTTCCAGTGAATTATGCAGGTTAAAGAAAATCTGTGGGAAATACAAGTCTGGAGTTGAGGATAGAGGCAGAGCTTATGAAGACTGGAAGGACCATCAGGATCTATTGGGATTTCTCTTAAATAAGAGCTGAAGTGATGGGAAGAAAAAACTAGGACAGAGTATTGGACAGAAAGGGGAGCAGAAGGAGCAGAGAACCAAGCATGAAATCCTTTCAGAGCCATAAAAGTAAGTGACTGAGCAGCGGAGATACCGTTGGGGAAAAGGAGGGGGAGAATAAAGAACCAAACAGAAGTGGTGTCAGAAAACAAAGGAAGGTCCTCTGAAGGAGGAGAGAATGGGCATCAAATGCAGAAATCAGAACATCATGTGGCCGAGCAGTCAAAACGTTTGGTGCCTTCAGAGCTATGTGATTTGGGAGTTGAGAACCAAAGTCAGGCAGTAGTGAGAAGAGGGAGGTGAGGAAATGAGAACAAAAAATTTAGTTCAGGAATCGGCTGGTTGAGTACATTGCATGTGCACTAAAGACAATATTTATCAAGCATGGTCTCTATGCCACCCACATATTGTTATAGGTTCTGGAATACAAGGGAAAGTAAGACACAATCCCTGCACTCAATGGATTCGTATTCTATTTAGAGGGAGGGTGATATGTGAATAAATCAGTACTGTGGCCATTTCAAATGGTGTCCGTCTCAGTGGACCCAATGTAGGCTCTTCTAAAGACCTACTAAATTACTTAGGAAGGCACAGAGAATTCATAATATCAAAAACTAAGAATCACAATCAAACTATTTTTAGAATCATGAAAGTTTTTCAGTTAACTATAAATGCACTAGAGCTGATTAGTCGGTAAGATTGGAGGGCCACAGTTCTTTTAACTTTAAGACTGTGAAGTCTCTAGACTTAAAATAAGATCGTTTAGAAAGAGCATCCCTTGATCTCCCACACCCTGCTCACTGGGTCTGTGCCAATTAGAAGACTTGAAACACTGTCCCTCCTTCAGCCTATGCTCCTCCCCCTCCCGCCTGTGCCTCTCTTCAAAACAAAACATTGGACTTTGGAGCAAGTGTCAACACACAGCTGAAGAAAATGGTAACTGACTGTAGTTTATCACAAGCAGAAGCTCTGGGCTGTGTGAGGAAAGCTCTCTGTTTGGGCTTGGTATGAGCCCTGCGGTAGAGGCTGGTCGTTTTTCAAGACCTTTATCAGTTTATAGTGTCACAGAACTGGACAGCAGGGAACGTTTCACCTGTGTCCAGTGTGTGGATAGATTTCCTTTCATTCAAGATTGAGCAAAGTGAAACAAAACACCCGGGCAATAAGAAATATATTGCAATAGGCACTGAACAGCATCCTGAATCTCCAGTGTCATGGCAGCTCAGAAGAAGAGACGTCGCCTAGGAAAGTACCTGGAGCTGTCAATAGACTACAAGACCACATGGCTTCCATGAAAGGAATCAAATTTCAGACCAAGTAGACATCAGTTCCAAAGGAATTCAA